CCACAGGCTGTCAAGCATTTAAACACTTGGTATATGGTACTTAGTTGGTGGATTTTGTTTGGGCCATCTTAGAATCCCTAGAAAGTCCAGTCTGCTGAGGGAAGCATGCCACTGAGGTTTCTTGAGGCATTGAGAATTCATAGCTTAGACCTCCTTCCAGCTATTTCCTCTCTGCTTCTTATGCCCATGTAAAAATGGGAGTGCTCAGTTTTCTGTCTTAGCTGCCTCCTGCCATGTCTCCCCTCCTATGATGGACACTTACCCCTCTGTACCTGTAAGCCCAATAAAATCCTCCTTCTATAAGTTACCTTGGTAATAGTGGGTTTTGTTTTTTTTTCTCACAACCAGGGAAAAGTAACTAATACATGGAGGAAAGATTTCATTTCAACTTATAAGTTACAGTCTGTCATCCACGGAAGCTAAGGCAGGAGCTCAAGCAGGAATCTGGAGGCAGGAATTTAAGTACTGATCACAAAGGAATGCTGCTCACTGGTTTGCTGCTCTGGTCTGTGTTCATCAGACAACTTCCTTCTACAATCTAGTAACATCTACCCAAGTGTGGCAATGTCTACAATTGACCGGACCCTCCCACATCAATTAGCAATTAGTAAATGCCTCACTGATTTAGCCACAGACCAATCACAAGGAGAAAATGCCTCACTTGAAGTTCTCTCTTTCCAGGTGTGTTGACAACTGAAGCTATCCAGTGGAATTGACCTTCTCAACTTGATATATATCACTATTAAACCATAACCTTTCCATTTCTTTTCCCCAAGTTCTCATATTAATATTAATATCACAATATAAAATATATTAAAACATAAAAAAATATTAACCACTTTTTCTTTAAAAAATTTCATTTTATTTTTATTTTATGTGTATGGGTGTTATGCCTGCACGTATGTAAGTGCACTAATATTGTACTGTGCCTGCAGAGGACAGAAGAACGTGTTGGATCCATGGAACTGGAATTAGGGAAAATTATTAGTCACCATGTGGGTGCTGAAATTTGAATCCAGGTCTTCGGTAAGAACAGCAAGTGCTTTTAACTACTGAGCCATCTCTCCAACAACCCCATGTCTTACCTTCTTTAAAAATCCAATCACTTAAAAGTGCAATGTCTCTTTAAAATAATTCCAAGTCTCAACTGTGGGTTCTTGTAAAAAATTTTAAAAATGTAGATAGTTTATTTCAAAAGGGACTAACTGGACACACTTAAGCAAAACAGAAATCAAACATGGTTCTATATTCAATATCCAGGAGTCACGCAAGATTTTCTGGGCTCCAAAAGGCTTGAATAGTTCTATCTGTGTCCTCTGCAAGAACAGTAAGTACTCTTAACTACTAAGACATCTCAAAAGTCCCAATCCTGTCACAGTTTTCATATGTTTTAGAAATACTTTATCATTTAGCTTATATATATATGCATATACGTATATACATATGTGTGTGTCTTGCATATGTATCACCTTTATAAAGATAAATTACAGCAATAACTCCATCACGGTTTTAGCAAATGGACCAGTACATTAGTGCTTCTGAGTCTCTGACAGACTGTGGCTTTTCTTCAGTGCTAGACAACAAAATCAGAGCCTCAGGTGTGTTGACCTAGGCAAGTACTACAGAGCCATACCCTCATATGCTTAGCATAAGTGACTCATTTATTTGTATGGACTGCTTAAAACATAATCACAAGAGAATTGACTTCTGTAAACTGATTTGGAGAAATCACAGGAGAGATAATGATTAAAATGTTTTACCACATGTCTTGAAAATCTTTAGATAAAGGAATACAGACTCTAGAAGTAGACTCTGTGGATCATTACCACTGCAGATGGTGTGGAAATAAAGAAAAAAATAACAAAAACAATGGATTTCCCTGAAGAGATGAAAATAAGCAGGAGATGGGAATTTCAACTGACTCACACAGGGAGATGCATATTCCCTAAGGACAAAGTCACGAAGGAGTAAAGACTTGAACTCTAAGGAAAAAAGGGCATTTCATAGTCTCGAATATAAACACATTTATGTGCAATTCCTTTCTATAGCTTGTGTTTGTACCCTAGGCAGAGACGGAAAAGCTCCCATCTTGCTCACAGCCAACTGTAATGCACACTGCTAAACTATATAAAGCATTTGGGTGTTTCAGCAAATGGCCAGAGTAATAATTAGAAACACTGGTTACTTTTCCTCTTTTGTCTCAAAGAAGAAGGAGTGTCAATATGAATTATCAGCAGTAAATCAAGAAAATTTCCAAGATCTAGGAGAAATCATTTTATGCTACATCCTCTTAGAATCAAGGAAATCAAATACACCTAGGCCAATGTGCCTTTGAGGACATCAGAGTAAGTAAAGCTGATGGATGCATCAGAAAGAAATTTATCTTGCCAAAAGAAACATCAAATCTGTGCTAATGTGTTAGTTTTTATTTATAACATACTTGAGATATATCTAAAATCTCTGGTGACAATACGAGGCATGCAATTTGTTTTGGCCAATATGTTTCTTGTGACATTATTTTTAAAATGTTTTATTTTTTATTTTTATTTGATGTGCATGAGTGTATTGTTTGCATGTATTTAAGTGCACCAGTACAAAGAGGGAGTCAGTTACCCTAAGGACAGTTGTTAGCTGCCATGTGAGTTCTGGGAATCAATCTCAGGTCTTCTGGAAGAACAGCAAATGTTCTTAACCCGAGCCATCTCTCCAGCCCCTGTTGTGACATTCTTAACAATGAAGTGAATTCCTGGAAACCTGGCAGGAGTTCATAGAATCAATAAATACAGAGGTTGTATGTATTCAACCATCTAGTTCTATTCCCGTGAATAAATCTCATTTATAGTTTTATGAGTTTTCCTGCAACAAAGACAGCATCTTAACTGGAGAGAGCACCATTTGAAAAAGACCAGGAAATGGAGCTAGTCAGCATTAGGAAATTATCAGAAGCATGACCCAGGAATCCCAAACACCATCAGAAATGCTGATCCTGGCTGGAGAGTTTTAGCCCAGTTCTTGCACCTGAGCCCTTGACCATGATGTTCCTATTTAAATGACTCCAGTTTACACATCTGGAAATTACTACTGTGGTTCACACTAAACTTACAGAATGGTACACTGAATGATTTGGCCTGATATCTTTTGAATCATGGAAATTCTTCAGCTGGAAAACACACTGACACACAAGTACTTCAGGCAACTAATGAAAGCCTGTCTTCTAAATGTCGACCACTGTAAGCCATTGCCTTTGCGGCAGGCAGTGCACTCATTATGGCCCAGTACTCCAGCCTGCTGTCTTTTCCCTTTATTCTCAATAAACTATTGTTTTCCTAATATAAGTGGTAAGTGCATTCACTATTATCAGTCCCTTTTGTACTACCAGAGTGGGCACAAACTCTTCAAGATCAACCATTATTAGAGTCAGGTTCTTTTGTTTTGGAATGGAAACACCTTCATACTTTTAACTCTACCAGATTAGAGAGAGGTACATGTTGCTGTTACCAGAAAAGTTAGGGTTTTCATTTTGCTCTTGTTCTTAATTGCCTTAGTAAAAGAATTTAGAATAGACTCTTATGGAAACTTGAGGACAACTTTATTAAAGTTTAAAAGAATAACAACAGAGAAAGTTAGCTGTAAAACCAAGTGCCTGTAAAACTGAGGTGGAATTTAAGAATAAAGCCTTTGTAGCTCAGACCAACATGTTGCGCACACAACCATATGGCAAGCAACTGTCCACATGGCAGAAGAGCATCCAGATGGGCATCCAGAGGTTAGACTAAGGACATAAAAAGTGTCAGAGAAAGCATTTCCAGGCTTTGGAAGAAAAGAGAAAGAAGAAAAAGAAAAGGTTATGATTTTCTGAGTTATTCAGGAAAGCGGGAAGATACCAGTTACTTGTTGTAGCCCCACAGGTCACTGCAACTGAAAAGGGACTTCTGAAAAAAGTAGATTATAGATTTAAGGGCAGAATTATTCCTTCCCTCTTTTTACCATATGTCTTCAGGTGAATTAGATTTTTGGTTTGAGTGTAGGGGCAGTGGTGACTTCTGCCTCACTGATCGAAAAGGCCCATTTGTATTAACCCGTAAGGAGGAATCCACATATTGGATCTCTGCCCAGGGCCAAAAGTAGAACTTAGAGTCTATTATTTTGACTACGAGGAAGTAGTTTTGCCTTATTGGGTCTCAAAAATCTCAGAAGCTTCCACCTTGTCAAATTTTCCCATGGTGTTTTAAATTCTGAGGGGTGGTAAAGCTGATAGTTACCTTTCTAACATTGCCAGGGAAACAGAAGGTAGGGTCCCAAGTCTCCATATCCTCCAAGGCTACTCTAACATTGTTTTAGTCTCTTCCTGTTTAAGAGAAAGACTAAATCAAGGAAAAGGTGATGTCATAAGAAAAAAAAAATTCTGTCCTGGTTCAGTCTTGTTTCTCCCCTTTTGCTTGGTGTTTCTAACAGCCATGTTAGGATGTGACAACTCTGCAGACATCCATGTATACTATTAGTGAGGCACTTTAATATATTTAGTCTTTTTGAGGCTGGAGAGTTGTCTCAGCACTTAAGCCCCAGCCACTTACAGAGGACTGGGGTACAGTTCCCACCTTCCACATGACAGCTAACAACCATCTATAATTCCAGTTCCAGGGGATCTAAATCCTTCTTCTGGCCTCTGCATATTGCACAAGATAGATGTGCTACCCCATGGAGACAAAGCACTCGTACACATAAAATAAGTTTATATATATATTTATACATGTAAATATATAAATAAATATATATTTACATATGTAAATATATAAATTATATGTATATAGAGAGAGATGTTAAGATTCTAATATGGGGAAGATAATTCCATTTAGTCAAATGATAGCATGAAAGACGGATTGCCTGATTTCCGTTGATCATGTTCATGAACTCCCAGCATACACTTCAAATATGTGGAGACTCTATGGTTGTGTGTTCTGCTATGTTGTCTAACTTCACCAGTGTTTTTCTTCTTCCACATGTTCTCCTATAGAAGAATGACTATGGAAAATACCTCCTTGGTATCAGAATTCATCCTGGTTGGATTAACAGATCAACCAGAACTGCAAATTCCGCTTTTCCTGATTTTTCTGCTGATGTATATGATAACTGAATTGGGGAATTTGTCTTTGATCATTCTAATTGTGCTGAACTCTCACCTGCACACCCCCATGTACTTTTTCCTCTTTAACTTGTCCTGCATTGACCTCTGTTACTCTTCTGTGGTTACACCCAAAATGCTGATGAATTTTATACTAAAGAAGAATGTTATCTCCTATGTGGGCTGCATGATTCAACTCTACTTCTTCTGTTTTTTCATCATATCTGAATGCTATCTGCTGATGGCAATGGCCTATGACCGCTACGTGGCCATCTGCAATCCACTCTTGTATAACATTGTCATGTCCCCTAAGGTGTCTTCCTATCTAACGCTGGGTTCATATTTCATGGGGCTTTCTGATGCTATGATCCACACTGGATGCATGCTGAGACTGACTTTCTGTGGTAAAAGCACCATCAACCACTATTTCTGTGACCTCCTCCCTTTGTTGCAGCTCTCCTGCACCAGCACCTATATCAATGAGATAGAGCTGTTCATCGTAGCTGGGAAAAACATCATTATGCCCACTGTCATCATTTTTACCTCTTATGGCTTTATCATCTCCAGCATCCTCCAAATAAGCTCCACTAAGGGCAGGTCTAAAGCCTTCAGCACCTGCAGTTCACACATACTCACAGTTTCTCTGTTTTATGGATCATGTGCATTTATGTATCTCAAACCCTCCTCAGCTGGATCTATGGATGATGCAAAAATATCTTCTGTCTTTTATAACATTGTGGTTCCCATGATGAACCCGTTAATCTACAGCCTGAGAAACAAAGATGTTAAAATCGCTCTGAAAAATACTATAGCCAAGAAGAAGTTTTGATCAGAAATGATATGTTTGTGCCCGTACTTACAGCAAAAAAAAAAATGACTGTGTATTGGTCAATATTCTTTTGGTACATTATTTGTTGTATTGTTTCTTCATATCATGGGGAGGGAAATTTGGAAACTGTCTTGTTTTTGGATATTTTTAGTGTTTTTTTTTTCCCTCACCATGTCACAATTTCTCCTTTCACCACTTTAGTTCCTTAAGAATAACAGTAAATAAATGATTGTTTTTCTTTCCCATTCTTATTCAAAGATATTATTGTTTCTACCAATGATTCAGTAAAACAGCAAGGATTCTCAGCATACTTTCAGCAATACGGTTCATATCTTTTTTGAGGCATTAGTCAAATGTTCTTTCTCTGTTCATGTTTTCCTCTACTGTGTAACTACGTGTCACTTTGAAATATCAATGATCCTTGATATCTTGTTTCTGAATTGATTATCAAATACAACCCATATTACAGCCGTGAATATGATGCATTTAAATCCATTTTTGTCAGGTATGCTATATTAAATTTGTAAGATTAAACCATATCATTAAATATTATATATGTGGTGTGTGTGTGTGAGAGAGAGAGAGAGAAAGAGAGAGAGAGAGAGAAAGGTCCCTGAAAGCACAGTACCTTAATAATTCACATAATTACACAAAGATCATGAAATAAAATATCCTGAGCAATTCACCCTGTCTTGTATGGTTTCTACACTCTTACTAGCATCATTTAGTGATAGAAAAATGTGTAATAACATTTGTCCTTTGGATTTTGCCTATATACTGTTCCTGGAAAAATATGTGAATTCATATAAGGACAATTATCCTTTTCCAATTTTTCTTCTGCATCACTTTTTGATTATACTTTTTTGAGGAAAAAGGGTAATTCTTTTTAAACTATAGTTGCCAGAAGGTTAGTTGAAGTTGATAACTGGATTTATTTTGCTAAAATATTCTAAATCCTGCAAGGATCTTTTAGAGAACAGAGCGATTTATGTGATGGAATTAGTAGGCCAGACTTAAAAAGACATAATAATAATATGTATAAAATATTTCTGTAAAAACTGATCAATGAAAATTGAAACAGCAATGTGCTCTTTTGATCTCACTTGGCGTTGCATTATAGAGCTTCAGTTGCTCTAATTCCTCACTACAGTTCATAAAGTTTGTAAGAACTTATCATTCATGAAAAATATAGACCAACAATATGTTGGAGAATGTGTATATATTTGTGAGGATAAGAGAAAGGCCAACTTGAGGAGAGATATACAGTAAAGATCTGTGTTTGAAACTCAATTTAGGAAGGGTTTGGGAAGGTAAAGTAATGGGAAAGGGAGTTCTTACTTGAGGCCTCTTGGGGAAGACCCTAGAAAGTTTTAGGGCTTATCAGATTTCTCTGGAAATGGCATTTGCTCATGCAGTTTGATATTAAAGAAAATTTCACTGAAATGGCATTAAGAATTGGACACTAAAACCCTCTTACCTGTCTTGACTTTAGTATACTATTCCCATGTGACATAAAGGGTACTGAAACCTCATCTTTTCACTGGGAAACAGTTAGTACATGAAATTTGTATTTGGTGAATTAAATATAGTGTCACAATATCATCTCATAGTGGGAATATGATTGATTTACATTTCTTTAAAATTTATTTATTAATTATTATTATTTTTTTAAATGTTATGTGTGTGCGTGTATTGCCTGCATGTAGGTAAGTGCACCCGTGTCATTCAATGACCGTGGAGGTCAGAAGAGGCTGTTGGATCCCCTGGGACTGGAGGTAATGGATAGTTGTTAGCTGCCATGGGGGTGCTGGGATTCGAACCCGGGTCTTCTGCAAGAACAACCGGTGTTCTTAACCACTGAGCCATATCTCCAGCCCCCTATTTATTAATGATTTTCATTGATTTTTTTGAATTTCATACATGCTGATCACATTTAAAGCCCCTCACCTATCTGTACCCCTCTTATTGCCTCCCCACTGGATTTCATATATTCTGTCATATACTTTAAGGCCTATCCAATCAAGTTTGTGTCCCCAAATGTCCTTCCGTGTATGTTCATTCACTGGAACATAATTAAACTATAATTTTAGGGAAACAGGACAAAAAATGAGTTAACTGAAAATTTTAATCTGGTACCAAAGTGGCAATGTGACATACTCTGTGATAACTTTAATATTTTTTTTTCTAAATTTTTGTCTCCTCATTTAATATTAAGTGCTGAAAAAAGTTTGTTTGCTTGCTTGTTAATATAAGTTTGGAATACAAATCTTGATTTATTGTTTGAAGTAAAAACTTATTGCTCTTCCAAGGACTCAAATACCTTCATAGAGGAGTTAAGCTTGGTTAGAAGATTCTTTGCTTTTCTTTTACATAATTGTCCCTTTATTAAAATAGTTGTCTTATTGGGTATTAATATAACTAAATAGTAATACAAATAAAAATGTATCATATTTGGACCCTTTTAGGCATTGCAGAAGTGTATCTATGTATTCTGAATTATATTACTATTTGAAGTTACTAAAGTGGATTAAAAGGACTAATATTCTTATATCAGAAAAATTCCAAAATATAAATAAATTTTCACAAAACCTCAACATCCTTTATAATTTAGTTTCTTATGTTCAATATTTTCTTTAAACTTATCGAACATAAAAATAGACTTTATAGAAGGTAAGAACAACAATATTTGAAAAGAGACAATTTAATTGATTTAGCTAAAATTGAAGCTCTGTTTTGATTTTCAGTGCATGTGTGTGCACATACATGTTTAGACATGTGTGTGCGAGTGCATGTATGTATACATTCATGCATGTTCTTCTGTGAAGGACAATCTCATGTATCATTCTCAGAAAGACATCCACCTTCTTTGAGATGGGAATCTCTCATTGGCCTGGAGCCCATAAATTATACTACACTAATTGGCAAAGAAACCTCAGCATCTGCCTGTTCTTCCTCCCCAGTGCTGGGATTTTAGCTCATGCCACCACATCTGCCATCTTTACTTGGTTTCTGAGATCAAACTCAGGTTTTGGTACTTACAGTGCAAATGAACTCTCTCCCAAATCCTTGTTTACATTTTATTTAAAGGGATCTAAAGTAATGTGGTTGATTACAGACAAGACAAATAATTATCTTTTATTGAGTTTGATAATAATAATACTATAATTTAAGAGAAAATTTCATGAAACTTTGCACAGCTGATAGTTAAATTGGAATCCACTGGAATCACTTTTGGTAGTTATTAGGAAACAGACATTTTTAAATTAGTAGGAAACTTAGTCTATCATGATACAACTGAAAAATTCTTCCAAATAAACATGGAAGGGAAAATACGCTGGTATAGATTTTTTTCTCTACGCAAGCTGCTGTTGATGCTTGGGTTTAGTGTTGGCATGATCATCAAAAGACAAAATTGCAGGAAGACCCATCTAGTTAAAAGTAAAAGTGATTTTGGGTGTTCTATGTTTTGCTTCTTTAATTCTCACTTGTTATTAAACACCTCCTCCCTCTCTTCATCACACAAATTCCCCTTTCAAATTGAATTATTTAGTGCCACATGCATTTTAGCTTCAAACATTGTGTTTAATGAAATGACTGTGTAAAATAAATTACATGTATGGTGCCACACTCTTTCTATGTGCAATAGGCTACAGATATTTTCATTAATGGTTTGATCATTTTCTAAAAGCGTGTTCAACCTGTGTCCCATTGACACACACATCCCAGGAGAGATATGAATTCTTTGAACACCTTTGTAAATGCCACCATCATGTCACAATATCAAGAGGTTGCATATACCTCAGTCAAGGGAAGATACACACATGAATTTTTATCCCACATAGTAAAGTTATATCATACATATGGTAATTTCTAAAGGTAATTACTCTGAAAAACTGATTTTGTAGGCATATCTATGTTGCGTACTAATGAGGCGTTTTCTTTAGTCTGACACAGTTGGCTTTGGTTTCTAGCATTGAGACATTTTACTAATGATGAAGCTGAGTACTAGATGAGACACTGCTTTGTCTGCTAGTTTTGTGGAACAAAATATAAATTTGCCATTCATGAATCTCCCTCAGTGTGTAAGAGTATATTCTGAGTCCTGATTCTCTGTCCCTTAGCCAAGAGAAGCCCAGTAAATGAAATCATGCATGATTTAATGTATCTCTCAGCCAGAACTGAGTTAAAAAATATCAAATATCAGTGTAGAAATATCAGTGAGTTTAACTGAGTTAAAAAAAATTGTCAAATATCAGTGTCATTGGTAGAATGGCCAAGGAATGTTCTAGATCTGCACTGTCTTGTATTTTGTCTCTGCTCTGCTCAGGAAAACTCTGAGCAGGTAAAGGTTAGGTAATTCTTAGTTTCCACTTTCTTGATGACAATGCTTATGAATGAACAATAAAAATATGGGGGCTGGAGATATGACTCAGTGGTTAAGAGTACTGGCTGTTCTTTCAGAAGTCCTGATTAGAATCTCAGCACCCACAATCATCTAACTTCAGTTCCAGGGGATCTAATGCCTCTTCTGGTGCTGCACAATGTGGGTGCATTTACATGCATGCAGGCATAACACTCATGCACATAAAATTTTTTAAATAATAATACAAATTTATGTCATTTCTTCAAGGGCTGTTTTCTTTGGCCAATGAGTTGTGTGTATTGGAGTAAGCAAATAGGTAATATCTTTTCATACAAACTGAATGTCTATATATTTGACTGGAGAACTGAACAAGAAATTTCCTTCAAATTATAGCACTCCCTCCAGGAGGGAGAAGAAAGGCTCATGAGAGTTAGGAGGAGGCAAACAAAATATCATATCTGATTTGAGCTTGCAGAGATAGGACTTGTGCATGCTGTCACCATTACCGTGAGTTCATATGAGTAAATGACTAGCTATCTGGAAGACTGTTTCCTTGAGGTCATCCAGCCCCTCTGGCTCTTGTAAGCTGTCTGCCTCCTCTTCAACAATAATGTTTATAGAACAGAGAATAATGATA